AGACAAGAGTCTCTCTCTGTCACCAGGCTGGAGTGCAGTGATCTCAGCTCACTGCAACCTTTGCCTCCCGGGTTCAAGTGATTCTCCTGCCTCAGCCTCCTGAGTAGCTGGGACTGCAGGCACACACCACCACGCCCGGCTAATTTTTGTGATGGTCTCTATCTCCTGACCTCGTGATCCAGCCACCTCGGTGTCCCAAAGCCCTGGAATTACAGGCGTGAGCCACCTCGCCCGGCCAAAAAATTTTTTTAAATTAGCTGGCCTTAGTGGCATGGGCTTGTAGTCCCAACCACTCTGGAGGCTGAGGGGGGAGGATGGCTTGAGCCCAGGAATTTGAGGCAGCAAGATGCTATGATCACACCACTGCACTCCATCCTGGGTGACAGAGTGAGACCCTATCTCCAAACGAAAACAAAACTTATCTATGGACTACAGGTGGAGCTTCAGATATGGGCAGCTAATCTGTCTATGATTGAAAAAATGCAGGTGGCTTACTTTATTAATCCCAAATAAAAGAATTTGGGAACACAAGGGAAAAATGAGCCTCCATGTGAAGACCTTTCCCAAAAACCTGATAGTTTATAGTTAGAAATTGTTATAGAGAGGCTGGGCGCAGTGACTCAGGCCAGTAATCCCAGCACTTTGGGAGGGCAAGCAGGTGGATCACGAGGTCAGGAGTTCAAAACCAGCCTGACCAACATGGTGAAACCCTGTCTCACTAAAAAATACGAAAATTAGCCAGGCATGGTGGCAGGCACCTGTAACCCCAGCTACTAGGGAGGCTGAGGCAGAGAATGGCTTGAACCCGGCAGGTGAAGGTGCAGTGCACTTGCACTCTAGCCTGGGCAACACTGCACTAGCACTCCAGTCTGAGCAACAGATTGAGACTGCCTCAAAAAAAAAACAGAGAGACGCCGCCGCTTCCTGCTTCAATAGTGCTTGGACAGAACCCGGCGCTCATCCCCCACCCCGGCCGGCCGCCCATAGCCAGCCCTCCCTCACCTCCTCACCGCGCCCTCAGACCGCCCCAAGGCCCCAGTCACCGCTCCAGCGCCGCACAGCCGCCGCCACGACGACCGCGTCCGTCTGGCAGGTGCAGCAGAACTACCACCAGGGCTCAGAAGCCGCCATCAACCGCCAGATCAACCTGGAGCTCTATGCCTCTTACGTCTGCCTGTCATATCTTACTACTTTTGATGATGTAGCTTTGAAGAACTTTGCCAAATCTTTCTTCAGCAATCTCATGGGGAGAGTGAACACGCTGAGAAAGTGATGAAGCTGCAGAACCAACGAAGTGGCCAAATCTTCAAGATATCAAGAAACCAGACCACGATGACTGGGAGAGCGGGCTGAATGCAATGGAGTGTGCATTACGTTTGGAAAAAAAATGTCAATCAGTCACTACTGGAACTGCACAAACTGGCCACTGACAAAAATGGCCTCCATTTGTGTGACTTCATTGAGACACATTACCTGAATGAGCAGGTGAAATCCATCAAAGAATTGGGTGACCACGTGACCAACTTTCAAACGATGGGAGCACCCGCATCTGGCTTGGCAGAGTATCTCTTTGACAAGCACATCCTGGGAGGCAATGATAATGAAAGCTAAGTCTTAGGCTAATTTCCCCATAGTCATAGGGTGACTTTCCTGGTCACCAAGGCAATGCATGCATGTTGGGGTTTCCTTTACCTTTTCTGTAAGTTGTATCAAAACATCCACTTAAGTTCTTTGATTTGTACCATTCCTTCAAATAAAGAAATTTGGCACCCAGGGGAAAAAAAATGTTACAAAACAGAGAATAGTTTAGCATTACTGTCAGGAAGGAATGATTATGACCTCCTCAAAAAAGTCCTATCTACCAATCAGCAAGACATAACTGATCACAGGCTCAACGCTGAAGTATAGAAATTAGTGGGCCCTGGTAACCAAATGTAATTTCTTTTTATTTAGAGACACAGTCTCCTTCTGTCACCCCAGCTGGAGTGCAGTGACATGATCATTACTTGCTGCAGCCTCAAACTCCTGGCCTCAAGCCATCTTCCCACCTTGGCTTCCCTTCTAAATAGCCAGGAATACAGGCATGAGCCACCGCACCCAGCCTAAATTTAATTTCTAGATTGAGTATTGTTATATTATTTTTGATCTTTTTCAGACGGAGTTCACCCTGTTGCCCAGGCTGGAGTGCAGTGGCATGATCTCAGTTCACTGCAACCTTCGCCTCCTGGGTTCAAGTGATTCTCCTGCCTCAGCCTCCCGAATAGCTGGGATTACAAGCAGCTGCCACAGCGCCCGGCTAATTTTTTTGTATTGTTAGTAGAGACAGGGTTTCACCATATTGGCCAGGCTGGTCTCAAACTCCTGACCTCAGGTGATCTGCCCACCTTGGCCTCCCAAAGTGCTGGGATTGCAGGCATGGGATTGCCCAGCCAAGTATTGTTATATTTTTATGGGAATTAATTTAACAAAATTAATTAAGAGTCTGCTCTGTGGTAGGTACCAATCTACAGCCATCAGCAGTGTACCTTAAAAGTGCTCAGGTCGGGCATGGTGGCTCATGCCTGTAATCCCAGCACTTTGGGAGGCCAAGGTGGGCGGATCACCTGAGGTGTTTGAGACCAGCCTGGCCAACATGGTAAAAACCTGTCTCTACTAAAAATACAAAAAAATAAGCCAGGCATGGTGTCATGTGCCTGTAATCCCAGGTACTCAGGAGGCTGAGGCAGGAGAACCGCTTCAACCCAAGAGGTAGAAGTTGCAATAAGCCAAGATCAAGGCATTGCATTCCAGCCTGGGTGACAGAGTAAGACTTCGTCTCAAAAAAACAGTGCCCAAACCAGTGTCAGAGAATGAGATGTAAACAGATATTTGTTATTAGTATTGTAAATACAAAAATAGGTATGTGCAAGAACAGTAAGCCACAGGGGAAAGGAGTTGTGTGGTCAGGTTAGTCAGGCAATTAACTAGAAAAGAGCTGTCCACATAGAGGAGCCTGCATAATAAAAAGGCATTAAATGGCAGAATATTGCTAGAGCAGAAGATAGCTAGAAATATCATCAATAGCCAGGTTATGGAAGTCAAGCACCTTAGAGTTTATCCTACAGGCAATGAGAAGCCATCAAAGGTTTTTTGTTTTTCAGCGCTTTAAAGATGTCATTCTCTTGTTTTCTGGCCTCCATTGTTTCGTGAGAAACTGGTTGTAATTCTTATCATTGTTTTCTTGTATGTCTTATGTCTTTTTCTATGAATGCTTTTAAGATTTTGTTTCTTTATATTTGTTTACCAAAAATTACACTGTGATGTTTCTAGGTGTCTTTTTCTATGAATGCTTTTAAGGTTTTCTTTATATTTATCAAAAGTTACACTGTGATGTTTCATTACAGTATAATGTTGTTTTGGTTTTGTTTTTGTATTTATCCTGCTTGGGGTTCATTTTATGCCCTGGATCTGTACGTTGCTGTTTTCTCATTTTCTTTCTTTAAGAAAGAAAGACTTTTGTCCAGTATTTCTTCAAAGGTTTTTTTCTGCCCCATTCTTTGTTTCTCCTCTTCTGGGACTGCAATTACACTCATGCTAGACTTCTCCGTACTTAGTACAGGTCATTCAGGCTTTGTTCATTCTTTTTTTCCTAATCTTTTTCTGTGTTTTAGTTTGCATAATTCCTATTAAGGGCCACTATCTAATAATCCCTGAAAAATCTAAATGTTGACATTTTCCCAAAGCACAGTAGCCTGCTGATAGCTATAGATTCCTTTGGGGAAGGTTTGGAGATATATTAGGAAATCAGAAATTAGAAGATATTACTACAGAGTGGATTTAGTATTGTGTTTTCATTGACTGAAAAAGCAAAAAGGGAACACTGAGGTCACCCAGAGGTGATAACTGCAGGGAGCAGCTACCAATGCTAGATCTAGTGAAAAGGGGGAATCAAGGTGGACTATCAGATTTCAGAAACTCAGACAAATAACCTGGTTGAGTTATTGCTCAGACCCGTGAGAGGATGCCGTCTGTCTGGTCCTACTACTTCGGAGAAGGCTAGTTGAGGGTAGGGAGGATGTCAAAAGAAGCTCAAGGATGAAATCAATTGCTGCTGCTGGAGCAAAGGGCTCTTGCTTATTGCTGGGATGACAATGACAGAAACTGCAAACAAATGGAAAGGAGGAAGTCCCCTCTTCCCTTCTGCCTTCCAGTCTCCCTCTAATGCCCTTTATTGATGGAATCTAGTGAGACACCACCTGGTATAGAAAAAAATGTAGTTTGCAGGGTTTGAGCCATAGCATTACAGAGGAAAGTACAGAAGGGGGAATGTGAACCTGAGACAATAGTTTAATAACCAGTACCATATCGTTTGTTTGTGCTAAATTGGTAAGAATGGCCAAAATTAGACTTAATGCCATCATATATGCTTTTACAAACTTTTAGACCTTTTTGACAAGAATCTCAGGATACCATGTCGATTTTCTGCTATACTATGATTACTGTTGGTGCCTTTTTCAGGAGTAAGGAGTATCTTTACTGCAGCTCACACATATACTTGCCACAAATTCATAAACGAGGTCAGCCTTGGAAGAGATCCACATAACTGAGGATAAGCAGACCCTACCCCAACATTAGGTATCTGACCATCAGGCTCCAAGTGGCATGGGCTAGGAAAGGCTGGCAAGAATCCACACTTCTCCCTATTTCTATTTCCTATATATCACCTACTGTGGCCATAATAAGGGTAACTTATTCAAACTTTGGATAACCACCCACTGTCATTAAAAAAACCACTTCTTTTCCCTTGTTTCCTCTTTTCTTGCCTCAGCTCAGCCTTCCTGACCCAGCCCTATGACTTCTAGTTTTCTAATGCAAGTAGATGACAAAACAGGGTTTGGTGTTCAACGTCTCACCTTATAGTGTATTTTTCACAAATGAAGGAGTTTTGTTGAGGATTTGTAGAACATTGGTCATGGACATTTTTCTAATTTTTGAACTTCAGTTGCATCTGAAAGGGGTCATTTCTTTGAATCTTCTATTCTTTAGTGATAGCAGTTAACATTCTACTACAATTTGCCTGGAAAGACATCTATAAATATTAATAAAGATACCAAATTCATGACATATTTCATCTATTTAATATTTGTATTTGAATATATTAGACTAGAATAACTTTTCTGCATTTCTATATATATATTGTATAGCACTCTCAGTTATATAACACAAAAGACATTAATAGGTAAACATTTAAATGGCAGTATACATATTAATAACTGAACATTAATGAGATAATAATAATCAGGTATTCATTTAATGGGAGAATCTAATATTTCCTGGTAGTCCTGCCTTCTTAAATTTCTCCAGTAAAGTTTATAGCCAGCAAGGACAAAAACACTAATCATAATGACTACTCCTCCAAAAACATCATAGACACTAGGAAATATGTGCAGCACGAGAAGCTGCAAGACCATAGCTACCACAATCTCCAAATGTTGTACTGTGCTAACCAAAGCTGGATGGAATTTGTCCAAGGCATAATACACTCCTAAGAATGCTGCAGTAGAACAGACACATATAGCAATGAGATAACTCCAAGTTTCTCCATCTAATGGAATGATGGGTTCTTGAAGAACAAACATAGTAGATATTCCCCAAATTGTCCCAGTCCAACCAAAGGTAAACAGTGCAGTCCACATGCTGATCTTCTCCCTGATGGATCTATATACTATCATAGAAAGAGCAGTAGTCAGTCCAGCCATCACAGTCATGGTGTACCCAAAGGCTTCTTTCCAGGCATTTAACAAAGAATTGTCTTCATCAACAATGTTGGGGATCATGACAAGACAAACACCCAAGATGCTGCAAACAACTGTAGCCATGTCAACATAAGCCATTTTCTCATCTACAAGTAGAAAAGCCAAAATGGCACTGAAGACTGTGGTTGTGGCTCTCCACATAGTGGTCCCATTGCTGGGAGGAACTATTGAAAATGATGTATAAGCACAGGTGATAGAAATGACATTGCATACACCATAAAAGAAGAGTCGTAATCTGTATCCACTGGGTCCAAAGGGGTCCTCCTGATAGTAACACACAACTAACACAGATAAGACCTGCAAAACAGAACGGATAAAAATCAGTTCTAGAGATGGAACTTTAGAACGATCAGAAACAAGCCTAGTGATAAGAGCTACACATCCATGAGCCAAAGCAGATCCAAACAGCACTATCCACATTTTTCGGGATTGAAAAATATTTTTTTCTGCAAAGCTCTGGAACTGTCCAATCTCATTGACCACCGGGTCTTCTGTTGGTGGAGGTAGGGTATCCATGGTTCCAAAGAAAGTTCTTCCTTTTCTTTTCATTTCACTCAGCAGACCTTTCTTTGGATTTTCTCCCATAAAATTTCCATAGTCTTCATTGATTTCTTCATATCCATCATCCCCAGGCTGGGGATAATGAGAAGTATATTTCACCATCACTGTGTTAGGATGTATTTTCACCCGTTTTTTAACTGGATATTTTTTGGAGGGAGACGTATCCATTTCTTCAGATAATCAATTCTATTTAAAGAAAAAAAAAGACAAATGACAAGACATATTCATTTCACTGAAAATTTAATTTCTATTTTGATCATGTCCAACAATTCAATGATAGAAAGTAGTAACTATAACAGGAATCTGGAAAAAAAAAATAGAAAGAGATGATCTGGCAACATGCCTTATCAGATGTATTGTACCTACTGGAATTGTTTACCCTTTTTTCACTCTCATCTTAAGTCTGTCCTCATTTCTCATCACTTACTTTTTGTTTCATTCAGCTCTATTTTCTATTTTTATACCACAAACAGATTTTTCCATGTTTTCATTCCTACCTGTTTCTCTACTTATCCAACAAGCAAAACACAGAAAAATAAATAACAACTTAGGTCAAATCTTTCCTTCTCATTACGTCCATTTGTCTATGTCTTAGTTATAAATAAGTTCAAAGAATTTTGTATAATCAATTCTGTGTAATACCAGAATTCACCTTATATTATAAATTATAGTGGTTTTTAAACATTCATTCTGGACTCCCCGTAAGTTTTGAGATATAAAGATACACTGAAATTAGAACATAAATAAAATGAATTTAGTAACATTCACGCATTGTTGGTAGAAAGGTTAAATTATACAACCTCTCTCATAAGCAATTGGGCCATATATATTAAGATTTTAACTACCCTCTATTCAGCAATACCACTTCTAAGATTTTATGCTAAAGACATGATCACAAGATGCTTTTTACATTCTTTGTAAACAAAAAGGGGGGGAGAATAAGAATACATATTTATATTTGCTTACATAACAAAGAAATTATGTAAAGATACCAAGGAAACTAATAGTGGTTCAGGTGACAGAGGGAACAAGACTGGAAGAAAACCTTACTGTTATGTATTTTTTTTACATTTTTAGTTTTGAATTGTAATATTGTCAAAAAATTAAAATTAAAATGTTTATCTGCTACTTAAGAAAAAGAATATACCAAAAAATGTGGGAAAAATATGCATACAGGAAAGTTCACTGTAGCTTACTACAATGAAGGTTCATACAATGGAAAACTATGCCATCTATCTTTTAAAAATGACAACGTAGGCAAGGTGGCTCACACCTGAACTCCCAGCACTTTGGAAGGCTGAGGCAGGCAGATCACTTGAGGCCACGAGTTTGAGACCAGCCTGGCCAACATGGTGAAACGCCATCTCTGCTAAAAATAAAAAGTTTAGCCAGGCCTGGTGGTTTATGTCTGTAATCCCAGCTACTCAGGACACTGAGACACAAAAACATTTGAATCCAGGAAACAGAGGTTGCAGTGAGCCAAGATTGTACTGTACTCCAGCCTGGGTGACAGAATGAGACTCT